CACACGCACACGCACACGCACACGCACACGCACACGCACACGCACACGCACACGCACACGCACACGCACACGCACACGCACACGCACACGCACACGCACACGCACACGCACACGCACACGCACACGCACACGCAATTTCCTCCGGTGCCCCCTCTGCGGAGGTAGGGTATATAGTATAGATTCTACATTTGTTTCTCCAGTGGATCCCTTCCTTTTCATGGTGCGAAGTCCTCTTGTTTGTCTTTGACAAGGCAGACTAACAGTAAAATCTTGTGTAAGCTCCGAGAGAAGAACCAGAGGGTAAGGCACCACATATGTTCCACAAAGGATTTCTGCTGAATAAAAACATGCTGATATAGTCTCCCGGTGCGAGTCTTGAGTGATTACAAAGCTTGATTGCATGAGGACATGACGACATGGCATAACTTGAAAATGGTCTTGAAAAAAACGACAAGTGCACTTTCCAGAGTGTTGCACTGGATCGAGGTAAACGATGTTCATCTTCTCGAGACTGGTGCATGGTCTTAGTTTGGCATACCAGGATGTTGACATTTGGACTGAATATTCAAATATTCACTAGCATGAGCTGACTCATCTTGGAGGAGCTTATAAGTCGGTGTCCATTTTTTGCTTGGGCTGTTTGGACCGAGGTGTGGCATGGGCCTGGGGTTGTTCGTAGTCTGTCCTTAATCAACGGGTGTTGTACGGTCCATGTGGGTGAATCCGAAGTAAACGAATGAAAACTAGTGGACACATACACCTACAACTCTCTTTCGGACAGCTTCGTGAGTGTATCTACCCGGATAGAAACGAGGTAGCCGATGTCCATGAACCCACGAACGCACGAACGATGGCTGTGGACAGGATACGTCCAAAATTTCTTTTCGGCGCTCAACACCGGCATCCTGGCCTGGGGTCAGGGCATCCCTGTCCGGATGCCATGACCCGAAGCCACAGTACTCGTACTCTTTGTTCATGTCATGTCATGCTCATGCATGCTCATGCACTCGTGCGTTCGGTAGACAATTCTCTGGACGTCCCTGGGCGTACAAGAGCGCGGATAGCCGGCCGTCGACAGGTGACTTTCAGTGGCTCCGGTGGCTCCACAAACGTTGATGTTTGGCGGGTGGGGGCGGTGGTGGGGCCTCGCTTGCCACACTGGCTGATAGCGAAAGTTTGCTGATTGCTGATTGTCAACAGTACAGGAATATGGTGGTTCGAGCAGAAGGATTGCGTGCTCTTGAAGAGGAAAGTCCGCGGCCTAATTCGGGCAATCTCGGACATTTGACCCGCGACTCCGAAAGAATATCGGGATGACGCGTTTCATTTCCCTATCGTATTTCAGACCCTGACGACCGGTACGGACACGTAGAAATTCGCACAGAGTTTTTCTTCTCCTCCTCCTCTCCCCCCTCTTGCTGTGTTCAGTTCCCAAGCACCACTCACTCCCCTGCAACTACAACTGTATCCCTATGCTCTCCCCCCTCTCCCGCTCGCTGCGCACCGCTCCCCTCCAGCTGGGAAAGCGCTTCGCCCACTCTACAGGGAAGAAGACGCTTTTCCAGACTTGGTTCGCTGTTGAGGTATGTCAAGCGTTTTCTCCTGCCTACCAGGCCAACCCAGGGGAGGGCAGAGGGCAGCTGCAGAGTGAGGCTGACACTGATAATGCATAGGCAATCCCCATCTACGTCGTCGTCCTAGGCGCAGTCTCCGGTGCGGGGTGGTACCTAACCCGCTTAGCCCGAGGTCCCGACGTCATCTGGGTACTCCCTCCCCCCAACCTCCAAAAGTGTAGGATGTTAACACGCGTTCGTGTAGGACAGGAAAAATAACCCTACGCCTTGGAACAACGTTACACAGGATATGAACACTAAGATGATGGCTGTGAATGCGAGGTTTGATAAGAGTTGGGTTAGGGATCGGCTTTAGTCTGCATGCGAAAGGGAGGGGGGGGAGGGGAGTGGGGAGTATGTCTTGTTTTGTTTGTTTGTTTGTGCCCGGGAGATTGGGCTTGACAAGGACTGACTTGATCTGGAATGCATAGACAAGACTAGACACTACACTTAGATGTAGACATCGAGTAGCGTCCTATCTTCTCTTCTCCTTCACGTACATCCTACATCCTACATCCCCCCACCTAGAGCTCCTCCCCCCTCTTCCGTCTCTCCACAACCTCCTCCGGCAGTGCATTCCCATGCTCATCACACCCTCCCAACAGGGGCGTCCCCTCCGGTATCGGCTCATGCAGGACAGTCCCCACCTGAAAATACTTCTCACTCTTCAAAAAGAACTGCTTCCAATGCTCGACCGCCGCCAGTTCTTGGGCAGTGAGGCCGCGGAGGTCGTGTGTTCTGTGCAGGGCGAAACAGCCGGTGCTGAAGGCTCGGGCGGCGTCGGTGCCTGCGAAGTGGGAGTAGGAACCGCCCGGGCCGTAGATCCGTCGGGAGGCGGAGACGTCGAATACTAGTCCGTCGAGCTAGCGGGCGTCAGCAAGTGCTTGCGTGCGTGTGGGGGAGGACGCACACCGAGATAGATAGGCAGCTCAGGATCAGACCCATCATACTTCGCCAGTTCCATCTCCGAGAACACACTCATCCTCTCAGGCCAGTAAGTCCTCCAATGGACCCATTTCCCATCATACCCCCACCAAACGGAGCCCGTGACAAACCTTCCTGCCAGCGCAACGAATAGGAGGAGGACGAGAAAGACTTTGAGAAGGGCGAAGGGGACGCTGTCTTCTGGTTCGTCGAGGTCTTCGGGTAGGAGAGGTTGGTTGGAGGCGAGTTTTGCTGTGCGACGTTGGGCGCGGGCGAGGGAGAGGGCGTCACGTTCTTTTTGCTGGGCTTTCCATCTTCCGTACCTGTAGGTCGTCAGAACCCGAACGGGGTAAGATGACCACTTCCCAAAGTGCCAAGTGCTAATGCGCCAAATCGACTCACGCAAGAAACGGCTGATTCGCCTTTTTGTTACTCACGAGCCTGCCCTGCGCATCCCTCACTTTGGGAATGTCGGATTCGCCGGGTGCTGTGCCTGGTCGGGATGTGGGATGGGGAGAGGAGGAGGCGAATGCGCCGTTGTAGGGTTGGTCTGTGGCCATGAGCTTGGGAGGGGGTATGGGATGGTAAGTGGTGGTGGTGGTGGTGGTTGGTGATTCAGTACTGTCTGTGTTGATTGATAGTGCCACGTCGATTGAATGTAAATTGATATCAGAATGGTCGTTGCGTAAACACCGGAGGACGTCTGCGCATTCTGCGGTCATGTGGCGACACTGCAAGGGTTAGCCTTCTCTTCTTCAACACTTCGACTCCTACTTCACTCTCCCTTCTCCCTTCAACTTCTACTCACTCACTCAATACACCCCCTTCAATATCCAAATTATCAAACATGGACAATGCACTCTTATCACAAATCCAATCAGGAAAGCGTCTTAAGAAAACAGTAACAAATGATCGTAGTGCACCTGCGATCGACTCGAAGCCTTCCCCAGCAGCAGCAGCAGGGGGAGGAGGAGGAGGGGGGGGGAGGAACGTCACTCGTTCTGGGGAGGACGTCCCTGCTGCTGCTGGCGGTGGGATGGGCCGTCCTCCTCAGTTAGGAGCGTTATTCGCCGGTGGAATGCCAAAGTTGAAGCCTGTTGCTCCTCAGTCTGGTATGTCATTCATTCTATCTACAACGACGGTCAACGTCAACGCTAACAACAAACTAGTCAACACCGCTTCACTCGCTAAACCGCCTTCGATACCAAGAGGATCGTCACCTGCGCTCCCAACAGCAGCACAAGCAGCACCGAGAGCACCTCCCCCACCTCGTGTACCACCGCCAGTACAAGCAAAACCCGCTGCTCCACCTCGTCCACCCGTGGCACCTCCTTCCAGACCAGCGGCTCCTCCTCCTCCCCCCGCAGCTGCTCTAAGGGCAGCACCCGTACCGCCTGCACCCCCCACACCGGCAGCTAGACCCCCTCCTCCTCCTCCGGGGACGACGACGGCATTCCGTCCCCCTCCTCCTGCACCAGTAAGACCTCCCGTCCCCCCTCCCCCTCCCCCAGTACCGGCATCGACATCAGCACCAGCGACTCCCACTCACCCCCACCCGCATCTCTCCTCCCGCCCCCCTCCCGCAGCACGGAGCACGCCTCCCCGTCCTGCCCCTCCTCCTCCCTCTCGCCCTACCCCTCCCCCCCGACCTCCTTCTCTAGGCCGACCCGCCCCTCCTCCCCCACCTTCTCCAGTAGGAGGCTCCCCCATTCTTCCCCGCAGGCCGCCTCCCCCCCTTGCGCCCGGGCCTGGAGCTGGAGCTGGGGCAGGGGCAGGGCCAGGAGGGGGAGCACCACGCATGCCCCCCCGGCGCGTCCCCGCCCCTCCCGCCCCGCCAAGACCGGTGAGCGAACTCCTTCCCCCCTCAACAGCTATCCGCCCCCCTCCGGCGCTGCCTGGTGCGCCTTCCCTGCCTGGGAGGGGCCCGCCGGTGCCCCCTGGTAGGCCGACTTCTGCACCTGGAGTACGGGTGGCTGCTTTCCCTCGGGAGCAGGAGGAGCAGGAGGAAAGGACGGCACCGGCACCGGCGGCAGCAGCGCAGTTCGTACTCCCCCCTCCTCCAAACCGCGGCGTTCTTCTCCCTCCTCCTCGACGTGACGCCCCCCCCTCCGTGCGCACTCCCTCCCCCTCCAGTGCTGACCCTTCCAAAAAAAGAAGAAGAGTCGAGTCCGGCGCGCGTTGCTCCCCCCTCTCCCGAGTGTGGACTC